TGAATAGTGTGACCAGTGAGTAACTTTTCTGATGCAGTACAAATAAAAACCTTTGCATATGGATACTGTATACTCAAGCAGAAATATCAAGAACAGTTTCTATCAGATGTTTTATTATAGGTTATACTGTATACGGTAATGCTGTCATATTTCGTCAATACAGAACAGCTAATTTGCTTAGTATCGTTCCATCAGAAGATTTCTTCTACCAGGAACAGCGTCCCTTTTCAGGTAATTCGCACTAAGCATGGTGATGACACAGCTGCAGTCACATGCATAACAGGAAGTTAATCTGACAAGGCGAAATGAATCACAGTTGGATGAGGTGCTCAGATCAGATGTGTGTTGGTGTCTGTTTATGTTTTCCTTTTAATCTGTGCTATGACTCACCAACCTTGATTTGGGTAAAGGACTGCACACACTGGGAACAGTTATCTCCAACTGTGTCTGTGTGTGGTTACCAGAAGAGAATGGGAGGTTCTCTGAGTGCGAGGGACAGATTATTCTGTCCTTATCTTAGTCAAGGCCACAGAGATAATTTTAGCAAAACACATATTTTCTTGTTGTTTCAGCTTGACTCCACATTGCTGATATACGCACAAACACCAATATATGGTAAGACAATCAGTCCGAGACCCTGAGCTGCAGCTGAACACTTATCACATGACATAGCACGTCACATTACCTCCTGTCTCACACATAGGGTGGCCATTTCTATAGCACCAAAAAGGAGGACATTGTGCGGCATATCAATAAATTACTACGGTGTACATAAGAATCGGGTAAAGTCACATTTATAGTACAATTCTTAGTAGTTTAAAGATGATGCTTGTGTAGTTGAATAGAACAAAATATTAAAGAGATGTAAAAAAAGAATTGGTTCCCAGCATTTGTATTTATTTAATACATTGTGGTGTTTAAAAACTATTTTTTGACACGATTAATTTGAGCAGAACTGCTGCAATTGATCATAAAGCAGTTGTATGGAAAATAAGCTTGAGGCAGAGAGAGAGCTAGAGAATAGGACAATACAAATGTCAAAAAGTGGCTGGAAAAGAGGAATTCGTGACATGGCTGCAGCCTGTCGAGAGTAAAGATGATTTCACCATGTTATCTATCTATCTATATATATATCTATATATATAGATATATAGATATATATATATATACACAAACTTGAGTCATGGAACTGTGCTTACAGCTCCTTTTTCATGTATACTAATAACTTGTGTACATGATACTTGTTGATGAAATTAAAATTATTTCTAATAGCATTAAAAGAGCATTAAAGTAGAGTTCCTCATTCCGGTATAAACCCTGTGAACGTTTAATTTAATATGACATATTAAAAAAAATCCCCATCATCATCCAGCAGATGTTCAGTTTCTGCCCAAATATTTTCTTTCTGTTGTGGATTTTTGTAACAGGAATAAACAGGATCATCCATAGTTTGTATGAACTATGTTTGTTCTCCGCTTCCAAACTCATCATCTCTTCATCCATTCCTGCAATAAGAATTTTTTGGTCTGTTGAAGCACCAATAGTCTGCATCCAGTTATTTAATTAATTGCTCTTAATTTTGGGAATATATACGAACTATGCTCTAATTTCTAGTAACCGACCTGTTTTTACTATAATTTAATTTGACAAACCGGGTCTTCTCTACATTCTTTATCCTGTTTGGTGCGATTGCAATTGCGGGTCTTGATCTGGACTGACGGGAGCGGAGCCAAAAAGAGCTCAGTTCCGTATTTTGACGGTGAAGGATGGAGAAGACGTACGTGGACAGAGACGTGCGAAGGAGTAGTGGAGGATGTGGAACAGCTCTCATTGATTTACATGACAGACAAGTACTCCGCACGACGTACTTGAGCGGAGCGGAGCACTGACGGAGTATGTGGAATCTGGGGGTAAAGGAGGGCAAATACACGTCCGGCTGGATGCGGCGCCGGACGCCGGACAGTGCAGTGAAAATCCGGACTGTCCACCCTAAAGCCGGACATCTGGCCACCCTGCTCACACATGCGTCACTTTCAGCCTGCTTGTGAAGTGATTTTTCATAACCATAAAAAGAATTAGTAAAATAAAGCTAAAAAAAAATGCACTCTGAGAAATTGTGCATTTAAAAACAACCCACTTTGAGTTTTTTGTTAACCAAGTGGAACTCTTGAATCAATATAGACAAAACCAGACTTGCTATTAAACAAGAGATGAAAAATTAGTTTTCTCAATACAATGACTGACTTTAGCAGGAGCTTTGGACCCAAGCCTCTCCACCATAACAAGTTGGCGACTCTCCAGAGAGGAAACATTAACTCACTCACACAAGATATTTTAAACAGCAAATTAAAGTTAAAAACCATAGCAACCGGGCAAAACCCACCAAACATGAGGAGATCTATCAATAGCTGCCAGTCTTTCTGCTAGGCTACAATGCTTTAAGCACTGGTCCATCAAGCTTCCCGTTTTTCATTATTTTGGATGTTTCTACGTTATAGACTTTCCAACCTGTATCACATGTAAAACCCACACATCCACCTACACACAGAGACCCATGCAGAGCTTATATGGTGGAATCAGACCAAACATGGTGTCCATGCAGGTATTTCGCCACTCTGCTTTTCAAATGCAGTGTTTACACCCTGATCCGCATCATCAAATAGGATCAAAGCTGATACCCCACTGATGGAAAAAATAAAATAAAATCAGCATAGAGACTGAATGGTTAGTGCTTCATTAGTGCAGGTTTGTGAATTTAAAATAGACATTTGTAAAATGAAAAATAATTACAAAAAAATAATATCACATATGCTGCTGTTTTTTCGGAGATATTAAAGATTATTTTTAGGTCATCCAGCGGTTACCTATCCCTCATTAAGCTCTGAATTTAATCAAAATCATCTACCTTTTCAGTGCTGCTTCATTTGTGCAGGTAAAACTGTTGTTTGTGCTGATTTGGTTTTTAAGAAAGAATCATTTTTATTTACAGCCGATGACACCTTGTAGCCTCACAGCTCTGAGGCCTGAATGAATGAAACTCAGCATAAATATATATTTAAAAGCGAACTGAATAGGATCCATCCATCCATCCATCCATCCATCCATCCATCCATCCATCCATCCATCCATCCATCCATCCATCCATCCATCCATCCATCACACTTATCCTAAGCGGGGTCGCGAGGGGTGCTGGTGCCATTCCCATCTGTCTGCGGGCGAGAGGTGGGGTACACCCTGGAGAGGTTGCCAGTTCATCGCAGTCCACAAAACTACCTATCCATTATAGATTTTTTAAGGTTTTGAATATATCTTTGGAGACTTATTTCTATGCATCCAGTATCCAGGTGATGACTATTAAAATGGTTCAAATGTGTGCTCGGAAAATTTTGATTTCTCTTATTTCATATATTGATGTATGCTTATTTACTCATTGAAAAAAGTTCAGTCTGCCTGTTTCATCTGGCCACACAATGCTTGAGTTTTGGATGTTTGTAGACAAGATATACTTATTCCCATAACAAGCCAGATATTATCTTAAGCTTTATTTATAACATGTTGCTGTTTAACCAAAGTGTCTGCAATTTGTTTTGTTTTATTGTAAGTAAGGGGGAACGAACACTGTCCAGATCAGAACAGGGCTGATTACCTTGCAATAAGGGCGGTATGAGGAACTGTCCCCCCCCCAACAAATGGTAATCTGAAATTATTGAAAACAGATTTGTATGGGTTCAGGGCATGTGCTTGTGGAGATTATCAGTCATCCAGGTCATACTCATTCCAAAAAAAATTTTTTTTTTAAACCACTGGACCTAATTTTGTTTTTGGAAGAGCTAAGGGCATGAAATGGACCCCGCCAAATGTGGGTAAGTTTTGTGACTAGCGAGCGAAACTATCAATCTACCTGCCACGTAAGCGGGTAGCCAGGGTCCGAAAATTAACTTGTTTACTCACCAGCCAAGTGGACTTGAAGGTAAAAATATTTATTGACCACGCATATTTTTACCAGCCAGAAAAATGAAATAATAATTTGCTCTCATATATTTTTAAGGAAAATTATTCTACTAAGGCATTATGTTAAATGCAAACAAAGTTACAGTGCAGCTAAAGGGAGATGTCCCAGGCCAAAGTGAGTTATAAAACTGACCCCCCATGCATACTGTAGTTGTCTCATGTTATTGCATTGGATTAACCTATATCTCTTTGAGAGCTGCTGTTGGGTGATTCCTGACACCCTCCTGGATTTTCCCGTTGATACCTCTTCAGATCTCTGATCTCCTGGTTCTGACTCTTGCACACGTCCTCGACACCGGCTCTGGCTTCGTCTTCTGGGATGGACTGAACTGTAAAACCAGGTTAGTAATTAACATCCTTTGCCAGATAGACGTGGTCACTAACCTGTGTTCTCCTACTGCATAGGTTACTTAGACGAAAACGCTTCCGTCTTAAATAAACATTTTGTGAAACCTAACTGTCTCTCCAACTTGAAACTGACCCCCTTGTTTTGAGTTTTACATATTCATGAAGAGATTATGAAGATATTAAATTGCACCTGCTTCTTTGCCAATACTACATATGCAATGGTGACGGTATAAGGAATGGTTAGTATTTTTTAATTCAATTCAATTCAATTCAGTTTATTTATATAGCACCAAATTCACAACACAAGTCATCTCAAGGCACTTTACAGTTCAACCAGATCATACAGTCAGATTGATTCAAAATTGTTTTAGGCTTACCTTAAACCAACTTCTGCCTGAAATCATAATCAGCATTAAATAAAATATTTAGGCCTGCAATTTTTGCATAGCTTTATCTCATTTGCATTTGTAAACAATTTTAAAAGTATAGATGACAGTGTTTTAGACTATATTTGAGTTCAGGTTAAATATATTAAAAAAATATTGGTTTCACAATTTACAGTAATGGAATAGGCTGTCGAAAAATATTTAATGCCAAACTGTTGTTAGTTAAATGCAAAACAGAAAAAATGCCTGAAAATATTTATTGTGACATTTAAAGTTTTTTTAATTATTAATTGACTGATACAATAAAAAGTTTTTACAGTGCAAAAAGTGATTCTTTTAGAGATAATTAAACACTGCTTTGTAAAACTTTGCTTAAGCATCTATGGTACAATGCAACTACCATAATTCATTAAAAAAAGCTGTGCTACATCGCTTGAATCCAATCCCTCACATTTGAATCATTAATACTGACAAAATCAACCTATGTACAATACACAAAAAAAAAAAAAATAGAATAAAATATCACAAAGATTAATGCTTTCAAAGCCATATTAGATCAAAAAATACAAAAATTATACTTAGGTTTAAAAGATATAACCCTGACAAAGATTTAAGATGTAATTCTTCTGTGCCCTAATGGCATCATAAGATTACATCTTTAGGGTACTTATTAAGCAATGCTCCTACAAATAAATGTAAAATGTCAATTTAAGTTGGAATTTCAGGAAAAAAAACATCACTCCTCAAAAAAATAGCTTTTAAATGTTGTATTCGGTTGTGTAATAACTCAAGTTTTCTGTGTCTGCTGTCCTTTACATTTTACATCCGACATGAATATCATGAATCTTTGTTTGATTTTGTGCAAATGTCTGTAAATAGAAATGTACACACAGGATCTCCATCCTTAGACATGGGCACTTTTGGCATGATTGTTGGAGGAGGCTGCTGGCTGGTTGACACCTCCCTGTTTGGAGTAGTAAAAGTGGTTGTTGTCCTGGTAGGTGCGAGACGAGGACGTAGAGGAATCTGACGAGCACATTAGCATCACGCCACCCAGTAAGCAAAAAACAGTGCCAACCCATCCGGTGAAGAGGGAGAAACCGAAATACATGAGGGGAACCTCGTTGTTGGCACCAATTGGAAACCAGATGGTTGGCACAATGGCACACAATGCTATGGAGGAAGACAAAAAAGGTACTTTGTTTAGAATCAAGCAATGCTGACAAATAAACTTTTAAGATCTTATGTTGTACAGTGGCAAAAAACTAAGTAAACCGAGGATGCAAAGCAGCAGATAAGCTTGAGGGTATAAAATAATGTACAAACAAATATGATTTTTTAAATGCACCTTTACTTGATAAAAATAAAGATGCTTGAATGTGAGAATCTACATTAAAAAGATGTATGTTTTTTGGGGGAAATATATATATATGCATATTTTTTGTACTTGTTTATGATATAGGAACAGATTTAAGATAGCTTTAGATAAATAGACAAAATAAAAAAGATAAAATTTGTTCTAGTACATTGTCACTAACTAAAGGAGTGCCCAAAGGCTCCGTTTTGGGGCCTCTACTATTTACTATCTATGTGAACAATGTTGGCCTGGATCTTATAGACACTAACTACCATTTTTATGCTGATGACATGGTTTTTTACAGTTTTGGAAAAAACCCTAGTGCGTGTGTCTCTACTTTACAAATAGCTTTTATTTTGGTTCAGCACAGGCTTTTAAAACTAGATCTTTCTTTAAATTCAAATAAAACTAAAATGATGTCATTTTCAAAAACAAAGACAAAATTGCAAAATAGCGATCCTCTTATCACCTTGGATGGGTCAGAGATAGAAAGGGTTCAATCTTTTAAATATTTAGGAATTTTAATTGATGAAAGTCTAAATTTTAAACCTCATGTCGAACAATTGATTAAGAAACTCAGACTGAAAATTGGCTTCTTCTTCAGGAATAGGCTTTGTTTCTCTTTTAATTCGAAGAAGAGACTGGTAGCTGCAACGTTTTTACCCATTCTGGACTATGGTGACCCAATCTATATCAATGCCCCAGATCAAGTTCTAACAATTTTAGACTCAGTTTACCATGCCTCTCTACGATTTATCACAAATTGTAAGCCTCGCACACACCACTCTGAACTTTAGATACGTGTGGGCTGGCCAGCATTAGAGACTCGTAGACTCACTCACTGGTATATGATGATTTATAAGGGTATTCTGCGTCTGCTCCCCTCATACCTCTGAGAGTACATTCAACCAAGAGCAGCTGGACTGTATTCTCTACGTTCTCAAGAGTCTTTGCTTCTGTCTGTATCTAGTGTCCGCACTGAAGCTGGAAAGACAGCTTTTCAGTACTCTGCCCCCACAGCATGGAACAATCTTCAGAAAGACTGGAAGTTGAAGGATTGGATTCCAATCAGACATTTTAAACGATTGCTCAAAGGTTTGGAAATGAGATCTATGGTTTGTAACTGTTTTATGAATTTTTAATTATAGATAGATGTAATTGTAAACTGTAATGTAATTTGTAATGTATTCTTTTGCCACTGTCTTGGCCAGGACTCCCTTGAAAAAGAGATTCTTTATCTCAATGGGACTTTTCCTGGTTAAATAACGGAATAAAAAAAAAAAGAAATATATACACTAAGAAATGTTTTGAATGTAAAACTTCTGCTGTAAAGTACTGTAAATGTATGTTACTTTCTTTTGCCAACTCCAGTTGATGTGTTTTTTCACTTAAGAAAACATTACCCTTTCACCTACTGTTTACCTAGCATATCAGCAAAGAACTGGTCATAAAGTTGGCATAAACATTAAAATTATATACAGTGCTAAAGGAATATTGTTGTTCAAATGTGATAGTTAAAATACAATTCAATAGTGTAGTTAAAATACTTTTTTTTTTTATCAGATCATTTTTAACACAGAAATGCATTGTGTAATTTTGCTCTTTACTTGTGTTGCAAAAAAGGCTGCTAAGTGGATGGATTCTTTCAAACATGAATCTTATACGTTTACCTGTAACTATTAGCTGTATCAATGACACTTTTGATAGCAAGATTACTCTAATCCAGTGGTTCTAGTCTTATCCAGTGTGTGGAGGTGGGGTGGGGGACTGACTGACCCAATTTGAGATACTTTGTATATTTACTTGAATTTACATTTCTTTGTTCAGCCCAAACTTTCCTGTAAACCAAAGAAAAAAAGCAACAAACTTTGGGAAGCAGTTCTGTATTCCATTTAATAATTTCCTAGTCAAACAAAAAAATATTCATGTTATCAGCTTACACTTCCTTCAACTATTTTATGCAACTATTATATATAGTTAAATAGTATTAACAAGAGTTTTTATGTTATTCTCTCACAATATTATAATATTCTCACGCAATAGTTTTTGAAAGAATATTTCACACAGTGTTGTACTGTATATTGGATATGAATTTTATTTCATATTTTAAATGTATTTTATCGACATTTCTTGATCTAATGAAGTTATCATAACGAGACGTTTGCAGGACTGAACCTAAAATAGGCATTCATATTAACCCATATACTACTTACTTAATCTAGGGTAATAATGATTGGGCTCAACATAGTTTGGTGCTTTAAGAATGGATTTTTATTTAAAACATTTCTTACTTAGTATAAAGGACAAACTTTTAACAGAACCCTGTTCTGACCCTGCGCTGTTTTTGTCCATATTTAATGAAGGATTAGGTTAGGAACATAACCAAAACAGGGTTCATTTTTTCCAGAGATGCATCAATTTGTTGGATTTGGAAATATTCTTCAGATCCGTCTTATATGTTTGATCATTTTAGTTTGTTTTTGGGGTAAATTATTCCTGCAAAACTAAGAATTTGATCAGATTTGGTCTACTTTAACAAACATATAAAGATTGGTGAAAGTTACTTTGATGAATACATGAGGATTACAAGCAACTTACTCTCAGTTGGAATAAAAAATATTACATTGAACAACGTTCACGATTGTTTCTCTTCTTTAGGTTATTTTTATTTGTTTAAAAAAAAGGAATACTAATCAGAGCTGACATATCTGGAACTCATTAGCTTACTGCTTCTTTATGCATGTTATACAAAAAACCTACACATGCTTTGTCTCTTTTTATGTCTCTTTTTATGGCACGCATTTGGAATTATCAGCTGGACTTATTTTTTGAGAAAAAGTAGGTGTTGGAAAACCAAAAATATTTGGGAACAGGTGTTTACTGTAAGTTGCTGTCCAAGAAAGCAGGCGGTGGAAAAATACTGTAGCAACAAATGCATAATTATAATCCCAGTAAAGTTGGCCGCTCAGGGAATTTCCATGTGGATCAGGACAAAAGCAGGGTGTGGTCAGAGGTAGGTGGATAGGAGGAATGTAATGGGGTGTTTTTAGGGTGGATATACAGATATGTTTATATTAGTACGGGTGATTATTTTCTTAATAACCACAGAAACATACAGATAAAATAATTTTGTCTCTCACCAACAATAATCATTAGCACTCCTCCAAAGACGACACGTTTGTTCTTGGAGCTCTGGGCTTCATTCCCAAGGCTGATGCAAGGCAAAGACATGACAAGGAGCCCCACTGCTGGGAGACCCAAGATAGATGCTATCACCATGAGGGCTCGAGTCGCCTGGATGTAGGCTGTGGAAGAAAATACTTCTGTTATATTTATTCATTTATTTATTCCAATTTATACTAAGCTAGTGTTATATGATCAAAAAATAAAGTTAGTGGTGGAATCAACAAAAATTGGAGACTTCACAAATGTTTACCTGGCAGCTCCAGGACCTGTGTATAGGCAGAGCAATGTGTGAGTGCTGTGGAGATGATGCACTCCTCCCAGGGTCCCTTGGAATTCAGCTCATCCATCTTTTTACAGGTATTCATACCATACTTACACCTGATCACCCAGTCACTAGTAGATGTGGCAATCATAATCCCAATCCATCCAAGGCTGCTGAGAAGAAAGCCACACAGCTGGAGACAAAAGTTGGCCATGGCAAAAAATTATGCGACAAAAACCCTGGTTCCAAGGCCACAGATTATTTGAAATTATGTTTTGGTAGATAAATATGCAGAATATTTAGGAAAAAGAATGGATCAACAGCTAATATTCCAATATAAAGGTTTAAATCCAGTTAAACGTGAGCTTCCCCCAGGATAGTCCACCAGATGGCTGCTACTGCAAACTTTAAAAAAAAAAAATCTAACTTTACCATGCATTTGAAGATTTTTAAGGAGTGCCTCAGTAAGAGAGAGAGAGAGAAAAAACTTTTATCCAATCAGAGAACATGATTAGAAAAACTTTTTTTCACTTATCTGAAACTGCCCTGCCCACTTTTTTTTTTTTTTTTTTTTTTGTAATAAATGATACATGCAGACTCACTATGCTGGTGGTTGAGCAACTAGACTGTTCAATAAGAGAAATGCCGCCATCTACAGGTTTCAACGGTTTTCTGCAAATTTTATATAAAGTTGATTTGAAAGGTTATAATCATTATTCTAATACCAAGATGCTGTAAAATAAAATGACAGAAAAATAAGCAAGCAATACTGCTTTCTGAACCTTTTTCTAAAGCGACCTTTTTTATTTCACCCTTCAAATAAAAAAAGGCTTTCAGATTTGGCCTTTGACAAGGCTGTTCCAACACTTTAGTCTTTTTAAAAACACTTTTGTTGAGATTAAAGTAGAATTTGACTAACTGTCATGCTAAAAAAAAATGTGTTTCTCTTCCCTTCTCCTGTCAGATGGGATCCAGCATAATTCTTTGCATCTCAAATAATATCCCAACATCAAGTAAAAAAATACTAAACCAAAACTAAACCACCACATCTCCTAAACCATCTACCACCATTCTTTACCAATACTTTGGTCTTAATTTGGTAATGAAAATTGGTAACAATGAAAATAGCATAACTTTTTCACATGCATTTAGGGGCTTATGTTTTTGTCGTATTTTGCATGTAAGGATGTTCATTTATTTGTTAAAATTGAGGAAAGGTTTTGTTGCCCTCACTTTCATTTTTATTCCATTATTCATTCTACTGTAGTACTGCAGTACTGCTGATGAATTGCCAAAATCTCAGCAGGGGGCGGTATAGTGCAGCTGTAAAAGATGAAGACTTATTTGTTTCATTGCTCTTGCCCTTTGTATGATGAAGTCAAGCTATACTCCATCAGTCACATCAGGACACTGCAAAGCTGCTGCAGTATAGCAATCAGTCTAAAACATATATAGACCGAAAGTTTCTAAGGTGCTCCAGATACCCTTTGGTCCTAAAAGCTCTAACAGTGCAGGATGAAATTGGGTTTCTCTGCATCTGTTTCTTTCAGAGATGTGCTTCAATGTGAAAGCAATGAATATTAGAAAGTCTGCATTCCTCTAAACGTATGACTCTATGTTTAACAACTTATTGCTTTTCTGGAAATACTTTTTCACTTTCATTGATGTACCTCCTGTATTTTTAATAGAAAGATCACCACTTCTTTTAATACATTAATATATCCTCAATATTTCTTGCAGCTGCTTCAAAGGAAAACCCTTGCACTGGAGATAATCAATTAAGGCTTTCTCCTGGTTCCCCCTTAGGGGGAAATTGAGGTGGAGCCACTCAGTGTACCCTTATCATCTTTAAAAGGGATACAAGTTGCTCACTGTGTCCAGTGGTTGTAGAACAGCAGATCACTTTTAGTTAAGATTAGAAGGTGAGCCTCAGGCTCTTAGCAGAGTTTTAGGCAATTACAGCTCTCTATGAAAAAAGCAAAAAAACCTACAGGCTCCCGACACCAGTCTGATCAACCCACCAGCACTTTCATGACCTCCAGCTGGTTCTCTAGTAGGGATTATGGGTTTTTCTTCAGCCAGTGCAGGTGTCTGTTCTTTTACTATAGGTTACGTTTGAGGCTAACATTTAGTGGGAAAAAGTTTTAAAGGAAATGTCAATCAGATAACAAACAAATGGGAGCACACGCTTATTTAAAGATGAAACCAGATGTTCACATATTCTGCATGAAAAATACCCACAGACCTCCTTTTCTCTGTGTGAAAATAATTAGAATAAAATACCCCCTTTATGGATTATCAAAATTATGTCAGTTTGCCAATTGGGAGAAAAATGTGGCTCAGTAATTGTCACCTCAATACACTGAACCTGTTCTTTAAAACTAATATTGGGGTTTTCAAATGGTCATTGTCCATTTTCCTGGGTGACGCCTTATCTTAACAGTTCAGGTGGTGTTCTCAGGATTTGAACCTTCTCCCCTTCCCATTCACTTCATGTGTTAAAATTGATGTTAGAGTCAAACACTTCAATTTTAGTTTAATCAGACCACAAGCCAAAAAAGTTAAGGTCTTCAGCCTGAGTGTATTTACAAAATATCAACTGTCTCTATTATGTTTGTTTTGGATAATGGCTTCTTCCACTCTAAGTAGCCTTTCAGCTAATGCCAGCACAGGAATAGTTCCATTGTGCATAATGATTCTCTTGCTAGTTTCAGTCAGTATCCTTATAGGGTCTTTTATTTATATTTTTGAGTTTAATAGACTTATCTTGCACCAAAAGGCATAAACTCCAGGGATATATTACCGGTAATATGTAGAAAATGTAGAAATTATTTATATATACCCGTTTTGTGAGTCTACAAAGTATTTGCATTGCGTTTCTTATGGACAACCTAACAGTGTCTGCAGGGTATTTGTGTGTGCAGAGACAGCAGAGGCTGTGAGACTTCTGAAAGCATATATTTGTAATTTACGTCTCTGCTTCCTCCATGCTTTATACTTAACTGTTCCCTTTGGCTACACTTTATACATAAAGATAATAAATGGTGGATCAAACTAATACTTTCAAAACTATCAGGTTGTACTGTAGGTTTTTTTTACCGCCTGATTTTTTATGCTTGTTTATGTGCAGAGAAGCTGCAACTTGGAACTCTTCTGCCTGATTATAATGTGGGTAAGAAAAACAGGGATGGCAAAAATGTACATGATTGATCTTGTCAGCTAACAAGAACATCAACATTTTAATACAGAGGACCATTGTAGTGATTAAACTTCATTTGTTTTATTTTTTTTGTTGTTTTTTTTAATAGTCGTAGATTACTTTTAACCAGGAGGAATTCCAGTTGAGAATATATGTATGAGAGCATCTGTTTTGGAAATAGATGTCCAAACGTATTTTAAAAAGGAATCAATATATAAAGGGAAATATGTAAGATATATGCACCACCTGTCAAGTAAAGTTAAATGGAAGCAGGAAGCTACACAGAAAAATTTGAGATACATGTAAATAATAAAGAAGTGTAAGAGATTGTACAGTTAGGGAAATTGTACAAAACATAATTTAAATTTGAGAAAAAAATTAAATAAAGCTATCAAAAGCAGAAAAAAGATAAATGAGAGAACTAGTTAAGAATATTTAATATTTAGGTGTTGATGTTTGGACTTGAATCAATCTATTCTATCCTGCTGAGCTTAGTTTAGATCTAGTTCTTGTCAAGGATGATGTTTTGGAAATTCATTCAACATATACATGTAAAAATTGAACACATTAATGAAATTGATATCCATATCTCTTCGCCTTTTTTTTATGATTTCATGGCTTTCCCAATTTGCCAATTCAATCTGAAAAATTCACATGAAGAGAAAAGACAATTAAGGGAAATTTATTGATACAATTACTTTGTCTTTGGCACTAAGACCTCGGCAGGAAACATACAGTAGCACTGAATTTTGAAAGACAAGCATGAACAGGAGCAAAGAATAGGGCTATTTCCCCCCAGACCTGAAACTGGTGGTGGAGTGGAGATGAAGTTGGTCAGTCTGTAGACTGCTGGTTAGCGAGACGGTCTCCTGAGATTTATGTGGAGATCCAGTGGATTGCGTGAGCTGATACTAGAGCTTCACTCAGGGACCTGAAAGATGGAAGTCCAGTTGGATAACACAGGTTGAGAGAACTTGTCCATGATGAGCAAGCATGGAGCGACAGTGGAGAGGAAAAACTCCCCGTTGGGAAGAAACCTCTGGCAGAAACAGGCTCAACATGGCGGTCTTTTGCCGGACCGGTTAAGATGAAACAGGGGATGCAGTAAGAGTCCAGGAGGAATGACACTCTGATGAAGCTTTAGCTACGATGGTGGAGGAGGGGCTGGAGGTGGGTTGAAAAGGTGTCATCTGAAGGAAGTTACACAGCGCAACCACCGTCTGCGCACAGGAGCAGACAGTGCGTATTAGGAGGCCTTTTAAGAACTTTGGGTGCCGATTGGCTTTCGTGGAGGTGTGGTTCAAAGCTGATTGGCTGTGTCGTAGATGGATGTAGGAAAGCAATTAGTTTCATCAAATTCATTCTGTTAATTTGCCCAAAGACTGGAATCTCAGCTTGATGAAAAGCTAAGGCCCAAAACACATACATTGCCTTGCTCTCGGGGAGTCATGTGCAAGACCTTTGAGGTAATTGCAGTTGTTATTTTTTTTTTTTTCTTCTTGACTTCCAGCTAAGAAAACAGGATTTGTTCCAACAGTTTACTGTTGGAACAAATCCTCTGGGAGCAGCTTTGAACGAATATTGTAATAATATGTTAATAATTGCTCTCTCTCAACAGATGTTCTAATGTTTACCTACAGCAATCTTAACCACGTATTAGTTTTGGGAATAAAATTATCCATGGCGATTATAAAACTTGTCGACAGAATAAAGTGGTTCTATCATTTTTCTCTCTGTTCAAGGTAAAAAAAAGTGTCTATAAATGACTAACATTTTTCTCTTGTTTTCTTTTAGTGTTTCTTGGCTGGAAAAGGGCAACTAAAATGACTGTAGTTTTGTATCATGTCTGTAATTTGTCTAACATTCTGAGAGATTGGTAGTTCCATCATTTTTTCAAAGAGTTGTATCAAAATAAGCATTCTGATTTAATTTTCACAACCAGATTTAATCTTAGCTTGAGGTTTAATCCTTTCAACAAACAGCTAGTGATTTCAAACAGACTTGATGTGAAGCATGAAGCACAGCAGAGTTGAAAAAGCATACGTACATTACATTTCTGTTTTGCACTTATGCTATCACAAATAGAACAGGTTAATTATGTATATTAAGAGAGGACATTTAGCTGCTCATCTTTTCTAATGCTATATTTTACAGATCCATAGTGTTGCTTATTAAAAGAAACTCTCTTGTGGCACAGTTATTTAGAAAATAAGAATACTGATTAC